AATTACCGGTAAACTTCAAATAATGTCAAGATTGTTCTTAACTTTTTTGCCAAGATGTATAAGGCAAGTTTGGAAATAGACTGACAAAACTACGATTTTCTTTAGTTTCCTTATATTTATGTTATAAAAACAGAACATAACCCAAAGGAATAGACAAAGTTTGGAAAAGCCAGAAATGTGAAATGTGAATGACAGCAGTCAGAATACACCAAACCACTTCTCCCCTAATGATCCTTGGACAAGGAGCCCTTTGACGTAGGCAGAATTCCAGGATGAGGCTGCAGGAAACAGGGAAAGGAAATTCCGGTTGGGGTTGAGTGATAGGGACCCTACCCTGGCAGCAGACCATGCCAAGATTCAGTTTCAGAACAAGCAAAATCCCCTTCCCACCCATACTTCATGAGTGAATTAGAAAAGGGGAAGGAAGTAGGGTGGGTCCCCACACTTAACAAAAGGCCTGAAGAAAAAGCGGTGGGGAAAGGGAGGGATATAGACAGAGTTCCTAGAGAAAGTACTGCTGAACAGGCTTCCACATATATTTGATAGATCTTCATTCCCCAAATTTAGCATTTTGACTTCCTTTTATGAAGATGAACAAGGTCAATAGCCAGTGGTTCCTCTTCATTTCTAGAATGAAGTAAATTCTTAACCCCCAAATTCTTCTACAATCCGGTCCCTTTTTAAAGATGTCTCACTACATCTTCCCTCTCTTGCTTCTGATGACATGGAATGGTTGTGGTTTTCTGGAAATATTTTGTATTTTGACATTTATTTTTCTTATGCTATTCTTCCCATTAGGAGTGCTTTTCTTCCATATGAATTGTTTAATTAAATTCAACCAAAACCTAGTTTAAGGACTATGTTAAACTCTGTTCTGCTAGAAGAGAGAATCTTGCTTCCCACAAGTATAAGTTTCTCTAGCCCCCATGCAGCTCTCTGAGTATTATTATCACAATTTCCTTGAATCTCAGTTATTTGTGTCAGTCTTTGCTTTTTTCCCCCACCCCCAATCAGATCATACTCCTTCCAGGTAGGAACTTCCAATATTATTCTGAATCTCCTACGTTGGTTCTACCAAAGGTATACTGAGTGACTAAATGACCAAAAGTACTCAAGTGACACTAGCTCAGACAGTCTGGGTGGGAAGGCATTCCTAAAACCATAGATAATTATGAAGAAGGTGTAGATAATCATTGTAGGTAATGCCAAAAACTTTGGTCAAATAAGTCACTTATTTTGGTGCTACAGAGATTCTGTTTAAGGTATTTTCAAAAGGTCTGAAGACAAGGGTTTATGTGTTCCTCATACTATTAGCCAGAAATCCCATTTGACAATGTTAATGAGATAAACACTGTGTATTTTAGCATATATCACAGACACCTGAAATATATCACAGGAAAACAAAGCAAGGTAAATTTATCATGTAGCTTTTTGGCAAAGGACACCAACCATTCATATGTTAAACAGAACATTCTTATGTTCTATCACTGTATCAAATAAGCTTTAATAAAAATTCAAAAGTTGCTTAGTACAAAACAGAACACTCCCCCACTATTAACAGTCATTAAATTATGCCAATTTTATTACCTGAATTACTCTCAACATCTATGACCTCATTTCCTATAATTATAGCCCTGGTTCAGGGCTGACTTACTATTATAGCTTTCTAAGGGATCTCTGACACTTTTCTCTTCCTATCAGTTTCCCACCTAAGTCAATGCTGAGGAGACTTACAAAGATCATGTTTGACTGTGCCACTTCCCTTCCACAGGGTGACTTATGGCCTTTCAAAACCAAATTCTAGCATCCCTACAGCCTACCCTCTGCATTCCCCATGAATCACTGGGTGCTCAAGTCATGCATCTTCTTCTGCTCCTATGCCTTAATCGCTCGTCTCTGTGATGACCCTATGTGACAAAAGTCATGCTTCAAGGTCAAGCACAAAAGTTCTCATTTAGTAACATATACTCCTGTCTTTTATTGTTATGATCACAAAATAAAGACTATGAAATATGATGCCTATGTAAGATGTAATTTCTTTGAAGAGTCAGTAACCAAACACTAATCCCACTATCATAATGTTTACCAGGAAGAGTCAATTTCTGTACCCCTCTTGAAGTTCTCAGGTAATAATTTTCAACACTTAGAAATGAGTGCTGGCTAATTTTACCTACATCTAGCTAGTAAAAATAGGAAAACCAAGTGCTTCCTGAGAAATCTGTGATAATTATACATTTAACTTTTTGTTTTTTTTTAGAAACACCTTGGCAAAAGCACAGTGAAGTGTTTCTCTAATTGCACACATTTATAATCATGGCATTTACTAGTTTAAGGAAGTATTAAAAATGCCTACTCTGAAAGCTCTAAGACCCTTCAATTTGTAACAAGATATGCCAGCTTTATTTTATCAAATTCATCTTTCTTATGCAGTAGCACTTCAAAGTAGCTTTCTCATCTTGGCATGTATGTATAAAAAAGGATGAGGCATTCTAGAATTGGAGGAGCAATGTAGTTTAGTAGAAAAGAATGATTCACTAGGCAACTTGGATTCTAAGTGCAATGTTATCACTCTCTACTTAACTATCTTGGACCTAGGAATGACAGATTAAGTAGCTGAAGTATTTAAAAATCAAAAAAGAAAGGAAATCTGTATGTAACTCCAGGGTTTAGTCATTATTGTTACTGTTATAACAAGAAGAGGAAACAGTAGACTTAGGTTTACATTAAGTAAACTGCAGTTTCCTTTGTACATGCTGTTATTAGACTGAGTTTTCAAGAGCAAGGACACATGACTGATACTGAAAAGAAGGCAGGGCAGAAAAAACCAAAAAGGCTGCATCGAGCTCATGGACACAGTGATCTTCAAGCACAAGCAACGATATAGATGATACAAACACTTAAAATATAAGAGAGTAAAATAATCTGCCAAATGATTTTTATTCCTAATAAATTATTGTAAAAACCACAAATGTGTAGTGTCAAACAACCTATTTAATGAAGTACTATATAAGTATCATCTTTTGGTCATCCTGCAGGAAAGATATCAAAGAGTGATAAAGTTTATATTTAACACGAAGATGAAAGATTCCTAACACGCACCTTGTCTCGCTTTAAGTTTCAATAGGAAAGTCTAGAAAGGAAAGATCATCTTTCTTATGTTTACTTATTTATTATCTTTCCTCTCAGAAGTATGAGCTCTTCAATGCATCCATATTATGACATTCATGTAAGCAGTGAGAAACATTAGTATTTTAATTTACAATCTTAAAGGGTTAATGGTAACAGAGAGTAAATAACCATAATCAAAGCTACAAATCTTCTGGCACTAAATTTGTCTCATGTTGTCTTTACAATTACCAGCATCAAGTTTAGGTTTGTACTGTTACATATTTGGAAGGTAATTATAATTTTCTTAGTTGTAACTGTAATATTCTAGATTCAACTAAATATAAAACAAAGGTAATGCAGGTACCTCTGTAGTAACTGGTAAGCTGCGGCTTAAGACTGATTTCTAACCCTGGGGAGACAGTACTCTACTGTCTGATTGTGATTTTAAAAGATCATGACCTACCGTAGGTTGTCCCTGGTCCAATGGATCAATATGCAGTCCACTATAAAATATGTCACTCATTTTAAGGACCAACAAGAAAAAAAAATTCTCACAAACTATAATTTGCTTTCATGCCATTGATCTTTAAATTCATGCTGGTTTCAGAGATGGAAAAATGTGGGATAAACTGCTCTTTGAAATCAATAACATGGAACACAAAAGCCACTCTTCTAAATAAAATACAACAAAAGGAGTATTGTTTTAAGAAATTTCACCCCCACACTAGCATATTCAAATACTGTAAGGACACACAAAGGTGAGGAGTCAGTTTTTGATTCAGGTAACCCTGAGCTTTTTACAACTTGAACAAGTGCCAAAACTTTCCAGCAGTACCTCATAAAGTGAATGAGCCAAACTTAAAGTCAACAGCCACCCCTGAGATAGTTCAATGGGAAGGCTCTGAAGTGTTTTATTTTATTCTCCCCCTTGAGACACTAACTGCAATGACTAGATGCTGTATGTTATAAACTAAAGAGCCTGCCATTTTTTAACATCTCACATCCTCTCCTGCTTGGTTAAAGGCTGGTATTTGTACTGATGACCTTAGAGAAAAAAGAACATGAAGTATTTTTTTTTTCCCTCTTGGAAAGGGTTGAAAATAAAATTCCAAAGGAAAACCAAAGTCAGAGAAAAACATGCTTATAAGCACTGAGGAATTTTCCCTTTCATGAGCAATACTGATAGTTCCGTATTGAAGAGTGAAGTCTTAAAAACAACAACAAAAAGTCAATACACAACAATGTATGGCAGAAGAGAGAGGTCCCATTGTCTCCCTGGCATGACAACAGCATTCTCAGTTCTGAGGCACAATCTGAATAACTACTTTCAGGAGGACTGAGCAGAGCGTCCCTTTCCTCCAGTTTAAGCACACACAATATAACTCTTGTTGGAACACAAACATTTCATAAGATACTGGAAAAACTCCCTCTGGCTCTCCTGCTTGATGAGGGCATCAACTATCTATTTTCTGTTCATATCATTTTTAGTGATTTTATTTGGTAACAGCATCCACCCTTTTGTTAAACATAAAAAAGGACGTGGGAATTTTCTTTCAAACTTTATCTTCAACAAACTATCTTATAGATAAACTCCCAAAATAAAACCTAAAGCCATCAACTCAGGGTCATAAGAAGACATGTATTCATATTTGCTTACATGTGTCCTTATAGTTTCTGTATGACTTACTTTTCAGATGTGTCCTTATAAATCCAGTGGCATAGCTATCAGTTAGGTCTATAAGCAACTATCATTTTTACAAAGAAGGATGCTTTTGGAAGGAAATAACCAAAAGCTAAAGAATTTTAAATAGTCTTTTCTTCAAATACACACCCAGTCAGAAACATTTTTCTACCCCCTTAAAACCTGAATCCCCAAGAGGAAAATGGCTTACGTGTTCAGACTTCTCCTGGTCTTTTTTGTCCGTCTGCAAGAACTGACAGTTTTCTCTTGCCAGCTTCTGAACCAGTTCAATTCGTCCAATATCATCTCTTTCCTGAAGCTTGCACATCACCCCTGCCTTAAGAGTTGGAGGAAAAGCGAAAATATACTTAAATCCACAGTCCCAGGACATGACACCACTGCAAATTTCACTTTATGATAAGTTCATCATTTCTATCGCCTGGATTAAATCGTGGCGTTGGTTTAAAAACAACAACAAAACTTTGCCTTTCCAAATTGAAATTCTATTATTTTAGTCTAGCAATGCCATGCCAAAAAACTAAACATTGAGCTCATGCATCAATCTACTTTAAGAGAGAAGAGTAGAGTGGACTAAATCATTTGCCACTAAAGTGTGTTCCTGATATGCCACGATTTGTTCCTGACAGCCTGTTTCCTGTTACATAAGCCTAGCAAGAGGTTAAAAACTCATGGGAAAGTTAGCCAGGAACCACTCTGGCAATAAGGGGGAAGTGATACACAGTACTAAAAATAACAGTACACAACCTCCTAATTCTTTTGCTCTACCAGATCATTCCATGCACAAATACACAGCAAGAAGATCACAAGATAATTTGCTTTTTCACAAATGGAAAGTTACCCTGGGACATTATTAGGAAAAACTGCTAGTAAATTAGAAAACAGTGAAAAGTTTATTGAATAAAAAAAAAATTGGGAAAAGAAAGTCAACACTCCTATATCAGGGCTTGGAAATGATTCAAAAGACATTGTATTCTTCCTAAGGCCTAAGTACCTAAGTGATAATAATACGGAAAAAATTCTACAACTTTGATTAAAAGGTTGTAGCACACAAATTATAAACTATTTCTGTTTAAATTTTTTTAAAAAATGGCTCATATCTCATAGCAGGACATGATCTAGTAAAGAAATCTGAAGTCACTCCTGGCAGAGCAGTCAAACTATTACATTTTTGCTTTACCCAGTATAATCCGTAGGCTTTGAATGAACTCAGCAACACGACCAAATACAGACAAGTGGTCAGTAAGAGATCCACAGCTTCATGGCTTTAATGGTTTGTGATAAGGATATCCATTTTGTGGAGTGGGCATCAGTGAAATGGAGCCATGCCTGCATAGTGATGAATAAATCTTTATTCCTAAGGGCAGGACAACTCCGAGCAGTTGCTTCAACAATTAGGAAGGAAAACAAAAATACCTGAAGTGGCCCAAACCACAATTTCCTACAGGACAGCAAGTGGAGTTCTTCCATCAAAGTCTCAGATTTATCTTTACAACATCCCCCACAATGAACCTCCAGCTTGTTTCTGAAGTTTCCTTAGACAGGGATCTTAGTTTCTCTTAAAACAGCCTGTGTGCTGTTGAAAAGCCAGGGTTATTGGAAAGCCCTGTAGCAGGCTAGACAAAACTCTGAAACCACTGAACTTCAATCCATGAGTACAGTTTTTTCTTTTAAAATAACTGCACCTAGTCACTATTTCTTCTACAATATGACAATAACTATATTTAGAAATATATTAAGTATGTAATATCTTCTGAGTAATTCTCAAGTATATCTCCCAGTTCATTATTTAATTAATTCATTTATTTACTTAACAGATTTTATTTGAGCAACAACCATGTGCCCAGATCTACCATATACTCTGCAGATACAGCAGTGAACAAAACAATTAAAAACCAAGTCACATGTGTTACGGAGCTACATTCAACATGGAATGTGGATTACATAGACAATGAAATGTCACAGGATAATACATGGTAGGAAGGAAAGTAAAACAGGGTAAAGAGGCAGAGAAATGATCTGAGGGCTTATTAAGAAAAATGGTATTTGAATGAAGAACTAAAGGAAATAAAAAAAGTTTTTTCAAGCAGAGGAACCAGTGTATAAGGGTCTTGAGGCCTGAATATGCCTGGCACCATTTAAGGAAGAAGAGTACAGTTGGCTGGAGAGGAGTTGTGTGGAGAAATGTGGAGGGGCAGGCCTGAGAGATGATGGGACGTTATATTACGTGGCTTTCTAGCTGACAGTGTACAAGATTAGATTTTTTTTTTTTTCCTGAACATAGCACTGGCATATTGTGACTTAAATTTTAACAGGTTCATTCTGCCCTCCTGTGTTGAGATAGACTATTGGGTGGCGAGAAACAGTTGCAGCTACAAGACCAGTTAGGAGACTGATCTCCAGACAAGAGATGGATTAGACTTGGGATAGCAGTAGATACGGTGAAAAGTGGTTAGAATCTGCATATACTTCAAAAGTAGGGCCTAGCAGACTGTTTTCTCCTTGATATTTTCCCTGAGCACTTGGAAGAGTTGATAGTCATTTTGTGAGACTGGAAAGACAGGAAAAGACTTGGGAAGGAACATGGCAACTAGACATCCAAGTGCAGGTGCTAGGTTGGTAATCTGGATGGAGTTTCATGGGGCTTGAGATAGGAGCTTGAGGTAATCCTAGTACATTTGGTATTAAAAGCTGGAGAAATAGGTGATGTTACCAGGAGTGTGACATAAACAGAGAAAAGAAGTTTAGGAATTGGGTCTAATGCTTAGACTTTGGAAAAATGAGGGTTAATCAGAAAAACAACCTATAAAGAAGTGCTTTAGGAAGAGAGCTTGGTGAGTAGTAAAGATGGTGTTTCATGGAGGAGAGACTAAAAAGCTATCAAATGCAGCTAATATTGCAAATGAGATGGTTTCAACAGAATTGGTTCCAAATTTGACAGAAATAATTGGTAAGTTTTTATATAGTATTTTTTGAGGAAAAAACTGATTGAGGAAAAAGTAGTTGGGCTCAACAGAAAATGAGAGACAATTCTTATGTTACAATAAATGGCATATAAGCTAAAGTGTGATGTGGAAGGGTGTTTTGTTCATTTGCTTGTTTAGGGTGAGGGATATTCCAGCATATTTGTCTTTTTAGAAACCAACCACTCGAGAAGCCAGTATGATAATACAGAGGGAGAGAAAGCATTTTTAGGAGTGATATCCTTAGCAGGGAAGAAACCCTGAAGACCTACTCTCAGACAGAAACGTGTGTGTATTTCCCTCACTGTAACAGGAGGAAAGGTGAAGAGCAGGAGTAATTAAATAGGTAGGTTGGAATATCTGATGGTAGGAACATGAGGTAATTCTTTTCTGAAGACTTTTATTTCCCAGAGATAGAAGAAGTTAAAAGATCTAAAAATAAAACCACACAGATCCAGAGAAACGGCTCAGGGAAGATACTGGAGGTAGGAAAAATGAAAGTAGTGTGGTCTTTTCAGTTGTAAACACCGACAAACTTTTTGGTAAAGGGTCTGAATGTAAAATACATTAAGTTCTCGCTTAACACTGTCAGTAAATGCTTAGAAATATAGATATAAGGGCAGTGAGGACAATAAAAGCAGACTTCTAAAAAATAACATTTTGTTCATTATGGACCCTGGGTTTTGGTTTTGTTGCCACTGTTATAATGAAATAACATTGTTCATGAATCTGGGGTGTTCAATGCTTAGTGGACCATACGGTCTCTGGCAAACTACACAATTTTCTACAGCTTTAAAGCAAAGGCATCAAAGCCAGTATACAAATGAATGAACTCTTTATTTACAAAAACAGGCAATTGGCTGGAGTTTGTTAACTCCTGACCTAGGAGGACAGGAAACTGGTCAAGTAGGTTATAAAGGGCCCTCATGGTTTTCCATCCTGGTCATCCTTCATAGGGCATCTTTTTTTTTTTTTTTTTTTTTTTTTTTTTAATGAGGCCTAGACAGCTAAGATAGTTTATAAGCACATCTTTAGAAGCAGCATACTGATACGGATGTTTTTTGGTGGGGGTTGAAATGAATGTATCAAAATAAGCATTTTTCATTATAGATACTGGCAAAGCCAATATCATTTGCAAACACTTGCCTCTTTGACCACTACACACAGAGGAGGCAATGAGGGATTTACACAAAATTGATCCTACCTGAGAACCTGGAACACCTTCAGCCTCTGTGACAGGACCATGTTTCTCACTGTTTTCCTCATTTTGCTCAAGAGCTTTAAAAACAAACAAACAAAAAGAACAATATTAGACAAATGTAGCCAACAAAATAAAACTTCAGATCTTTTCTTGTCAAACAGATATCTGTACATAAAACATTTATTAAATCAGTGGCAATGAAAAAGCTTAATCTCAATTCTTCTCTTTATCTAAACCCATCGAAGCATCACCATGTCAATACTGTGTTTCCCTCATGAGGGAAAATAGGGATATAGATGATGACTCACTTAGAGAGTCATATTTTATGTTTTTTTGGTCTAATGGGCAAGGGTTAATTAATAAAGGAAGCACAATATTTTATGTATAGTTTTCTCAAAGGATTTTTACTATGAAAGTCTAAACTGCAGCATCTTAATGTCATCTCTTTTCCCATTCCCCTCTCCCTCCAATAGCTCATTGATAAGTCCACATTACCCCTTCTGCACTGGTGCAATAATCTCCTAATGCAAAACCTTGATTCTAGGTTCCCCACATATGATCCATCTTTGGCATAATTGCTAAAATAGTTTCAAAAAATAATACATGCCAACATGCCATGTTTTGGCCTATATATCACTTATTGAGTCTCAACTACTCATCACTGAAGGTTTGCCTCGAATTCTCTTGCTCCCTGCTAATCTCCAGTTTCACACTGATATTCAACAAAAAAAGGTAATGTCCTCAACTCTGATCCAAGTACAATGATCTAGTTATTTTTCTTTTTCTACAGTTTTCTCTTTAAATAAATACCTATTTAGTATCTACTCTATGATTGGGTTTGGGGTTATTCCTGAGAACAAGCCAGATAAACCCTTGACTTCATGGAATCTATACACTAACTGAGGAGCTAACCAAAGAACAAGAACAACTACATCTATGAATACTAATAACAAAAAATTTAAAAAATAAGATGGAATTAAAGGTCATGAGATGACAAAAAACCAACTGAGAGAAGTTATTTCAGAAAGGTCAAGAATGTTGCTTCTTTGAAGAATTGCTATTTGGGTTGATATCGAAAGTTTGAGATGGAGTCATCCATGGCACGTTGGAGTGACACAGGTCAAGTCAGGAAAGAGCAAAGAAGACTATGTAAATTCAGTGGTTAGCCTAAGAACATGAAGAATTTGAAATTGGTAATTGTATGATTTGATGAATATTTTCTGAAGAGCTTTTAGTAAGCTTCTTTGTCAAGAACACACTTAAAAAGAAAAGAAAAGAAAAAAAAAAAAGCAAGAGAAAAAGCAGGGAGTCCAGAGATGATAATAGCTCAGACAAACTGAAGAAACATGGGGGGATTTGAGCTGTATTTCTAGACAACATGAACACAGGGGAAGAGAAAAAGGAGATGGGGAGAAGAACAATTAAGTCATTCATTATATCCGTCATACATTTATTCTTTCTGCTCTCTCTATCAAAAGCATACAACTTCATTGACAGTGAAGCTGTTCTACTCTACTTCTAGATTCAGAGTGCACTGTTTTGTGTAAATTTGAACATGTGTTTTCTGCTCTGGATTTTTAAAATATCAATTTCATGTATTTTCTGTCTTTGTGTGTTTTTTATGTCTACTCTGTGGTGTTACCCTGGAGCCCACTTAAAATACTTTAGCGTTTATACGCTCTGTAAAAAAATAATAGGGACAAAGTAACCAAAATGGCATGATTTGACTACTCCTACTTATGTAAATTACTTATTTTATGACTATTTAATATAAAATGGTGTGGGGAGGAGAAGGTAACTAGGATAACTCCTGCCAACTTAGTATCTAAAAGCAAGGCAAGGAGGGTGGAAATGGGCAGAAGTTTTCCTTCTATTTCAGTGAAAGTTTCCATTCATGCTGTTTAAAGGGGATCCCCTGTTGTTCCTGTTGCCTGACTAGGAAGAAATTTAAGAATAAAGAAAAACACTCGTGTTCTTTCTAAAAAACTAGAGACAAAGAATGCAAGGGGGGAAATATCAAATAACATCCTAGATTCTACTTCAAACTGTAGTGTGCCATAGAAGTAAGAAGTTCCCTTTATTGAAATAATATAAGAAGTCTTTCTTCATCTGTAATAGAGAGTAATTTTCTTTGAAGCCAATTTTATATTGTCCAATGAGGCTTAATTTTTCTCATGGTACTTTTTTATGCTAACTTTGACTTTTTTTGTTTTTGTGGATCTGATAAAACAATTTTTTTTTATGGATTTACCATTGTTTTACTATATTGTGTGAGTTCAAAAGCAACAGCTTTACACTTTGATGTATGTATATAACACCCACTGCCACAGTACATTCAAGACCATTCACCATCCCAGCTTTATTTCAGTTTTGCAATTAAAAATTTTGGAATATTCTGCCCCTCCCTGGTGGCGCAGAGGGTTAAAGCACAGCACTGAGAAGCTAAAGCCACTTCCGCATGAGTTCAATTCCTGCCTGATCCGGAGGAGACCACATGGCGTGGCAGACCTCTCCTGACCCGCCCACTGCTCCCCTCAGCAGTGTACTGTATCGATCTGCCTCCCCACTCTGTTCTGCTCCCCACTCTGTCTCTGGTGAAGCCTCTCGCCACCCCTGCACCTCTGGCTTGTACCCCAGTTCTGTATGCATAAATAAATCTTTAAAAAAATTTTTTTTGAATATTCTTATCTACTAAATTCATGTTTTTGTTTTTGAAATAAAAGCATTCTGGGGTATAAACATTTCTTTTTCCTATTATACTATGACACAAAATGCACAGGATGGAGAGTTAACACTTTTTTTTTTTTGAGATTTAGGCAAACTTTTTTTTTAAGATGTATTTATTCATGCATACAAAATTGGGGTACAGGCCAGAGGTGCAGGGGCGGTGAGAGACAGAGTGGGGAGCAGAACAGGCAGATGGACGAAGTACTCTGCTGAGGGGAGGAGCAGGTCATGAGAGGTCTGCTACACCATGTGAGTCACCTCTGGGGCAAGGATCGAACTCATGCTGAAGTGGCTTTAGCTTCTTAGTGCTGTGCTTTAACCCGCTGTCACCAGGGGGGGCTTAGGCAAGCTCTTAATATGTAGAAATAGATTCAAAGGAAGAAGAGATTAATATAAAAGTAAACTTGGGGGAAATTTAATTCAATATTCCTAGCAACAACAATGCTACAATTCTTGTTACATCTTTTTAAAGACCTGTGATTCCTTGCCTGGAGTTACATACACTTTGGTTAACAGAATGAGAATTAGAAACACAAGCAAGGGACTGAGCAATCCACCTCAATGTGCCTAATGGAGAGATTCAAAGTTCTGCAGAATTTGACCTCAGTACCCTGATGGTGAGACAAGGGCATGGTTTCCGCTAACACAGACATAACAAATTTCTTGGAAATGCTGAAAAACTGCTATCCTAAAATGCAACTGAGGCAGTGGTTTACATATCTATAGCACTTGGGAATAAAAATATTCTGGACTTCCAAGGCTTTATGACCTTCCCGTGAAGTAGATACAGGAAATACACAGTTCATCACCTAAAAGGGAGCAGTATATTGACCCTTTAATATAAAGATTAGTGTCAAAGAATAAATAAGGAGTCAATTTCTCTGTTCATGTGCCCTAGTCATGTGGGGCATGTGCTGGAAGGATGAAGAAGCAGTTATTTACATTTTGGGGCTTAATTTTCCTTTTATCTGATCAGAATAAGAGTATGCTAGGAAAAGTTTCCTATACAAATATTGATTCTGGGAAAGTTCCCTTCCGTGGAACACGTACACAGGAATGACAGCCTCTGGGACTGAGGGAGGCTAGGAGCCTCATTCTGCCAACACAAACCATCCCCTTATCTCTCAACACACAGAGTCAAAAAGTAAGAAAAGGCTTTTGGAAATGATTTATCACAACAAGAATCACAAGCACAAAGTCTGAAGCATCTATTTGGAATAATAAACATAAAGTCACATGAGAACAAAAGCACATGAAGATTAATTAGCACTAATTCACTTTAGAGTACTTAGTTTAAGTGTACCTAATTGTAAGATAGTCAGGGGCAACTGGAGATGAGCTACTATTGGCAGCTCCAAGGGAGTTTAGGATCTGTAGCATGGTCTTTTCTGGCTGCCTTGGGGACAGTAAATTCCCTCTCCCCACAATTTACAAGGGGGTTTGCTGAGAAAACGCTCCTAAAAACTCTTAGTATATCAGTATTTAAACACAAATAGGATGGATCCTTTGAAAATGATGTTTATTTAAATTCTGCTGGTCAGTTCTGGGAAGGCTCACTAACAAAAAAATTGCATACATAGTGATTGTTATACACTGCAGAAAGCTAGAGTTGACAGTGGTCTTAAAAATCAGCTGAACTATTTTTTTTTTAATAAACTACACATCAACCAAAAAAGTTGCTATGAACAGAAATGTAACATTTTGAATCTCAGAGCAAGAAATCAGCAAATACAGGTAGACACAATCCATTGAGTACTTTGCCAAGAATGAACGTTTTGGCAATTCTAGAATCTTTCCTCTAGGCGGTTTTTCTACATAGAGGAAGCTCTTTTATAAAGGGTCTCATCTGATGTTCACACATCTTGGAGAGTCAAGCAGGGAAAATCATCCCTGTTTTATAGATGAGTTTAAGTTACCTGCCCAAACCCCCCATTTAAAATACATGTATCTAGGCAGCTCAATTCTGCCTAAGACAAGGATGGAGAAATACAGCAAGTTCTGGGGAAAATCCATTCATGTGAATCCTGAATGGTATTTCTTTACATTTAAAAAAATGCTACAAAACAGAATACAATGGAAGGAACAGTGGAAACAGTTAAAACTCGAACTGCATTGCAATGGCAGAAGTATTTTCACAAATGTGGGTAAGAGCACACTAGGTCAGGCTTTTTTGTGTTCTATGGATCGTGGACACAAAAATGCTAGGAAAACACTGAGCTGATTCCAGGCAACAGGAGGCAGACCCCAGTTCTTCATTATCTAAATAATGGGCTATTTTTTTGTACCATTCCTGGAGAGAAGCCACAATATTTATTTTAGGAGGCCACTCAGCTCTCCTCTATCCACCTTC